CAGGTCGTGCAGCAAGCTCTTCAAGAAGTACGACAAGAAGAAGGCACGGGGCAAGATGAAAGCCAAGGACTACAGCAAGCTCGCGACGCTGTGCGAGACGATGGGCGCCGCGGACATCGAGGCCTCGGTCGGGTGTCCCGCGTCTTGCGGGACCTGCCCGACGCCGACGCCGACGACCGCGGGCGTCGGAGCCGTCGTGGGCGAGACCACGACGACCGTCGGGTTCGAGGGCGGCGGCGCCGCGAAGTGGGACCCCTGCAAGAAGAAGAAGACGAAGAAGCGGTGCAAGAAGAAGAAGAACAAACGGGGCAAAAAGAAATGCTCCTGGAACACGCGGAAGGAGAAGTGCAAGTTGAAGAAGAAGAAGAAGCAGTAGTTGCCCTCCCTACGCCTGTCCTCCCCATACCCCCCCCGACGACGTCCGGGGACCCGCGCCCGCGCCAACCTCACTTAAGAAACCCTAGCCCTCGCTCACGAGCTCGACGTAGCGCACGCCGAAGAGCGTCTTCGAGTCGAGGGACCCGTCGGCCCTCCGGTCGATCTGGACCAGCGCCTGGGCCTCGTCGCGCGCGCCGACGGGGACGATCATGCGCCCGCCGACGGCGAGCTGGTCGAGCAGGTCCGTCGGGATCTCGCTCGCCGCCGCGCCGACGTGGATGGCGTCGTAGGGCCCGCCCGCGGGGTGGCCGCGCCAGCCGTCGCCGACGGAGAAGGCCACGCGGCCGCCGACGGCGCGCGCGAGCGCGGCGTCGCGGTCGACGTTCTCGCGCGCGAGCGCGACGAGCGACGCCGTGCGGTCGACGCCGCGCGCGTCGACGCCGTCGCCGAGGAGCGCGAAGGCCGCCGTCAGGAACCCCGACCCCGACCCCACATCGAGCACCCTGGACGCGGCGCCCGCGCGCTCCTTGGCGAGCAGCGGCGGGGCCAGCAGGTCGAGGCACCGCGCGTGCATGTGGGGCGCGGAGATCGTCGCCAGCGGTCCAATGGGCAGCGGCGCGTCGCGGTAGACCTCCGCGTCCTCGAGCGCCGACGGGTCGCCCACGGCGCGCGCGAAGTTCCTGCGGTCCACGCGCC